TTTTTCAATTTCTCGTAAAGCTACTTTTCGGAATCAATTCATATATAAGTGAAGTTATATAGTGAATACAGTGTTGCGAAAGTACCATCAATTCTCTTAATTAAAACCAATAAAAAAAATAATTCATAAAAATCAGATACTGAATGGCAATTCCGCAACCTTGCTTGCACGATACATAAAAACAACTTTATATGACAGGGTTTCATTTGGTTTGAATTTCGCGTAAAGCTACTCAGGGGCTATTAGCGCTAGCCTTCCCCTAATTTAGCAGTGATAGACTAGAGGGAAGACAGCTAATCGAGACTTACAGTTTTTGTCCATGAAAATCAAAATAATGATTGGATTATTTTTCTTTAAATCGTGGTATTAAAATACAATTAGTGTTATTCTTTATTATTATTTTGCCAAACTATTGTTCGTGTGGTATTCTGAGGTGTGTATAACTATTTTCAAATTCATTATTACATTTTTACAGCCCTAAAGGATTTCTTTCTTTCATTAATTTCGCGCAAAGCTATTCGAGGGCTATCTGCGCTAGCTGTCTCTAATGTTGAAGTGATAGACTAGAGGGAAGGCAAATAGACAACACCAGCCACCGTCAACTCTTGGGTTACTCTTTAACAACGAAACCTGAGATTGACCGTCAAATTATTACGCTCTCATGGCTTAAAAGACGAGCATGTTCGGTAGACAGATTTCGATGCTAATACCTACAGATTACGAGTTGAGCGCCCTAACCATAAGGCCATTCCATGTCCATAAAAGTTGTTACCATTTTATACAGTACAATAGGCGCCGGCTAGATCAAGCTCTTTACTTATTAAAATGGCGGAATTTGCAATTGTTACGTTTGTTTATTTGTTTGCTTTAAGCGCTAAGCTATATAATGAACTACCTACACTTGCCCATTGCACAGATCTAGCTTTATTTAGCGCAATAATGTCTCAAGCTAACCACTAAGCCAGGAGATGTTAATTTGTCGCACAAATATCTGTTTAAATATAAACACTATTGTATCAGCTTTTAGTTTGCCTGAACCATTTAGCAATATCTTGTTGAGAAGTTTTCTCCTTTCATGCAGTATCTGTATTTAGGCGCTTGTTCGATACGCTTTATATGGAGGAGATAATGACTAATTTGTTCATGAAATATTTAATACGGAGGAGATAATGACTAATTTGTTCATGGAATATTTAATATGGAGGAGATAATGACTAATTTGTTCATGGAATATTTAATACGGAGGAGATAATGACTAATTTGTTCATGGAATATTTAATACAGAAGAGGTAATGACTAATTT